ATCCCCCAAATCCCTCCCTGCACCCCCGCAGCCCCAGTGCTGGAGCTGAACCTGCCGCCCCGCAGGAGAAGGACCTCATCCACAAGCTGTTCAAGGTGCTGGCACCCCGGTTCCAGCCCCACCCCGGCAGCTACACCCGCATGCTGCAGATCCCCAACCGGGATACCCTTGACCGCGCCAAGATGGCAGTCATCGAGCTGAAGGGGAACCCCTACCCACCGCTCATCCGCCCGCGCCGTGACACTGAGAAGACGCTGCTCAACCAGCTCCTGAAGGGCTACCGGGAGGACATGGAGCGGGCAGCAGCCACACAGGCCCCCGAGGGCACCCCTGTCTAGGCATTCCCCTCTGCCCTGAGGGACAGGGCTTGGTGGGAGCTGCCCACACACCAGCTTCTTGCTGTCCTGGAGCACAAGAATGGAATATGTCCCAGGAGGGCTGAAGGTTGATTACTAACCTTGAACTGCCATGATGGGGGCACAGATTCAAGGTTTACTCACTTTTTCCTGGGGTTTGAATAGAGACTCAGCAAGAGAAGGAAATCAAGCTGGGAGCCCCCATGGTTGATATTCTCTGTGTAAATAAACCCTGCCCAGAACGTGAGTGTGCTTCTGTTTGGATTATATGTCTCTGCACATGAGTTAGTAACTTATTCCAGCAAAGACTGGGTCTGTTACAACTTCTGGTCCAGCAGCCCTACTCTCTGGGGCCACATCTCCACTTCATTGTGACAGAGCTACGCAGTGTTTTCTAGAAGCCAGGGTGCAGCCTTTCAGGGCAGGAAATTCTGTGAAAAATCAAGTTAGTTTTGCCGTTTCAGAAGCACTGAATGTAAATAGGATGAGATAAGTCTTCAAAGAGGCAGTACCTAAGGGACTTGTGTTATAGTAAGGAGACATCTCATCTCATACTCATCTCTACCAGGAGCTTGGTAGACATCTCAGCCTGGGGTCTAGAACAAAAAAGGGACAGTAACAGAGCTTTTTCAGAGAGTGTGAAATAAATATTGGGAGAGAAGAAACTTAAATTGGCAGCTTTGTCTTTGATTTCAAGTACAGGTAGTGCTTGTAGCTTCTAAGTGGAAAAAAAAATCCAACACAAGACAGACACGGTGAGTTCCTTTTTCCCCTCCCACGTTTCACAGACTTAAGACAAATGAGTAATCCCATGTAGTGAGTGAGCTGCATGGAAAGAGAAAAAACAAAATAATCAAGTGATGTTACCCGAAAATTTGTTAATTCTCTCTTCAGGATGTTTAACCTTACACAGTACTTCTGGTTTAGTGAACTCCAGTGAGAAATAAGAAATGTGTGGTACCATTTAGGGGAGAAGAAAAAACAGTGAAACTACTAAAGAGTCCGTGTTCAGACAGAGCTTTGTTTCTAGTCACTTTGAAATTGCCCTCTGTGCAGCTGACCTAGCATCCTGTTCAAACAGGTGTTTTCCCCTCAGTCGAAGAGATAAACCAGGCTGCTATTGCTGCAGAGTTTCCACGTTATTAAAAGTCATTCTTAAGGCTTTAATGTTAAATTCTCAAGAGTAATAACTTTCCTATATTTCTGAATATGTATATATATAAATTACATAATTCCAGCACTGAATCATTTTCCCTGACAGGTGGGCAGATCCCCACCTGTCACTTTCATAGAGGAGGAGGGACAATAACTGGCAAAGCTACTGTGGTAGAAAACTGAATGATAGGAACGATAAAATCGTCAGGGCAGGAAGATGACTGTAGCCCTGTAGTGGTAGCTGAAAATACAGTGTTACACCCATGTCACCATTATCCAAAACATCTGTTCTGATCAAAGGAACCAGAAGCAAGAGCAGGTAGATATATATGTAGACAAATAAGTGTGAAGACACCGATTTAGAAAGACAGTTGGATAAAAACATTTAATGAGGGAGAGGAAGTCAGGCTCTCTTCTGCTTGTCTTTAAATTAATAACCTGAGGGAAAAAAAAAAAATCATAGAAAAGCTAGAAGCTTCTAAGCTAACGGGGAAAAGTCTTGATACAGACTTTTTTATATACAAACCCTTAGCATGCATATGTATTTTTTGCAATATCGGTATTAAGATTAGGACAGCTAACAAAGCATTCATAATCTCACAAACATGATGTGTAGTTCCTCTAAATGCAATTCTCCTACTATCTGTCCTTGAACATTCCCTAACGTTGTGTGGGCTTCTACCAAGAGAGGTGGTTGCCCTGCCCGCCAGTCTGTCTTGCACTCAGGTGGGTCAGGATTTCAGCTGCCTGTAGAGGAAAACAAAGGGGAAGTTCACTGTTAGTACACGAAATCTGTTCTTACTGTTCCCTTGTATCCTGGCTGCCAGAGTCAGGTCTTCTCCATTAGCCTTAAACCCATGTCATTCATACAAATACACATGTCTGTATGATTATTTTTATATTCTGCCCACTTCCTGCAGCCCTTCCACCTCTAGAAAACAGATGCCTACCTGACTGCAGCTGAGAGACTCCGATACCAGTCATTAATATCTTGTTGGTCACTGGACATCAGCAACAGTGTCTTGTGTGGAAAGGCAAGCTGAAAGGCAAACAATCCTTGTGGCATTCCTTGCCAAGGCAGCAACTCTGGTAAAAGGGGAGCCATCGCCATCAAACTCAACTCAGGCCCTGTGTGCTGATTTTCTTCCCCCCCCCCCAGATAGAAAAATTTAGTATTGATACTGGGAGAAGTCAGAAGCTGGACAGTATAGAGCAATTGCCAGACTTGTCCATTCCTTACAGCCACAGATGACAACTCACTTTTGACTTAATAGGGTGTTTGGAAGTGGGGAATTACAGTTCTCAGCAGCTTTCCATCTAGTTTCCTCCTTTATTCTACGCTGCCCCTAAGGGTCCTTCCACCACCACCATCTACAGATCACAGCTGGCCCAAAGCCTCTTCCTTGTGTAGCTCACAAGGAACGAGCTAACACAGCCCCCAGGTGCTGCAACCTAGGAAGACCTGAACTTGAAACCCTACCTAAGGCATCAATCCCAGTCAGACCTTGCAGCCCTCAGGGAGTTAGATGCATAAGCAATATTTGTTGGATAATATCCACGAGTTTTTTTCTACATTGTCTGTTTTTCAGGGTTTTCTATAAGCTTAGTCTACATTGTATTCATTGTCACATGATTGTGGGGCTGTGTCCCCAAACACATGTCTCTGATGAGGGCATGTCACAGAATCACAGAATGTCAGGGATT